CAGTTTTGTGTATTCAATAGTGAAAAATAAGTACATTTTTCAGGTAAAATAATAAACTCTATTCAGAAAAATAAAATTTCTTTTTTAAACATTTTAAACCCTTAAAATAAATATGTCCACATCTGCACGTACAAATATTTAAAAATTTAATGGTATATTTACATAGTTTTGAACAGCTTTGTCTTAAAAAACATAAATTTGTTTAGCAATTTTTATACTGCCTATAACTATTTTTCAAAATAACTTTATTACGAATAAAAATTGTGTGAATAATTTATTGACTAATTGTAACATTATTACCAAAATAAACAATCATAAAAAACCATTTAAAAAACTGTAAAAATAAATACGTGCTATTCAGAAAAATACAATGTATTTTGCACAACTATTAAATATGTAATTAATGGCTCTTAATTTTAAAAGGTTCAAAAGGCTAGCTAATGTAAGATGACGGGGTTTAAAAAAACATAATTTTAAGTGGTTTTAGACACGAGTTTTTTTTATTTCCCCGCACTCAGATTTTTGAATTTCGCGGGATTCTAGTGCAGTTTCTGCGAGCTCTGGAACCAATTCTAGTAACTTTCTAAGTAACCAACCCAGTGCTGTAGAAAAACTCTTATGTTTGTACTTTTCGTGTACAGGCCTTGTTTTCCAGCTCAGCATCTGATGAGTTTCTTTTTCAAAGTAAACTAGAGATACGAAATCACCTTTCAATGTAGTTTCATATCCAATAATTAAAGTACCGGCTCGGAATTAAAAAAAATAAATAAAAAATAAAGTGTCAGTTAAATATTCTTAAATTCGTTGAATTCCCCCACATTCAACATCACAAGTTATATAAATTACCAGTGGCTTGGTGTGTCGTGATAACAAACATTGTCATTGTAGTGGTTGTGAAAGTGCTGTCAAGACACCAAAAGTCGTCTTGGCAAGGCAGTCGGTCAAATTGGCCCAAGAGACGAAAAGAGATAAGCCATGGGTGGGAATCCCATTGTTTTCCTCGACATAGCCCACGAGGGCGAGAAGCTGGGCCGAGTGGTGATCGAACTGTTCAAGGACCGCGTCCCCAGGACGGCCGAAAACTTTCGGGCCTTGTGCACCGGCGAAAAGGGAATCGGCCGATTCGGCAAACCCTTGCACTTCAAGGGCTGCTTCATCCACCGCATCATCCCCAGCGTGATGATGGTGGGCGGGGACATCGTGAACTTGGATGGCTCGGGTGGCGAGAGCATTTACGGGGAGTACTTCGAGGACGAGGACTTGAGCGCGAGCCACGACGCAAAGGGCCTCCTCAGTATGGTCAACGCCGGCAGACCCAACACCAACAGCTCCCAATTCATCGTGACGATGGACACCTGCTCCCAACTGAACAACAAAAACGTTGTGTTTGGTACTGTTCGCAAGGGCCTCGGTGTCATGGAAGATTTGAACCACGTACGTACGAATGAGGAGGAAAGGCACAAAGTGCTCGAAAAAGTCAACATCGTCGATTGCGGGGAGTTGACTGGTTGCAGCGAGTGGGGTATCGAGGACAAAGACGGCGAGGACGTTTATTGTCCCTATCCGGAGGATTGGGATCTCATTGTTCCGGAGAACAAGCTCACCCGTGAGGAATTAATCGACATAATCAACAAAGTCAAGGCTATGGGCAATAGTTACTTTTCGAGGGACCAGCTTAATACGGCCGAAAAAAAATACAAAAAAGCCTTGAGGTATTACGCGTGTTTGTCGAAATTGCAAGGTGTTGGCCAGGATGATCCAAGTGTCAAAAAACTCGAGCAATCCATTTTACTCAACATAGCGAATGTTAAACTGCGTCGGTGCGAATATCGCGATACTTTGAATTTGTGCAAAAAAGTATTGGATGCGGATGAAAAAAATTGCAAAGCTTTGTTTCGAACTGGTCAAGCTTACGTGGGCTTGAACGAGTACAGCAAGGGACTTGATTTTCTCGAGAAAGCTCTGGCGGAAAATCCAAGTGAAAAAAGTATCGTGGCGGAAATAAATGATTTAAAAAAGAAAATAAAATCCCACTTGTTGTTTGAAAAACAGACGTATCAAAGAATGTTCAGTTAAACCATGTATAGTTATTTAATGATGTTTTTTTTTTTTTTTTTTCTTTACGTTATGTTGTAAATATAAAAATTACTGAGTAAACTACAGGAACAAACTAATTTTTAAGAGTTGCTAAAATTCGGGCGCCTTAAACGGCATCTTCGAGACTGAAGTCGAACAACTTTCATGTAGTTTGTATAAAAGTAAAATTTTCACATATTATTTTTTACATATTTAATAATGTTCATGACTATTGTCCTGAAGATGACTACCGAAGCGCCAACATAATAGTAACAAAATGAATCCCAAAACTAGTTTGGGAAGTTTAATAAGACTGTTGAAACCACATATTTTTCCATTTGGAAATTATTGTACACCCATAATTTAATGTAAAAAAAATTCTTATTAATTTCCAGCTCTATTTATCAAGTTTGTAAATTTTTGTACTTATTCTACTTGTAAATAAATCATGAGAATAAACAGCTGCATTAAAAATCCTTGGTCAACATTAATTAGATTGTTGATGGTTTACCGTCAACTCTCGCCAACACAACTGTAATAGTATACACTGAGAGAAAAATAATAATGAAAATTATAGAGAAATTCCAGCAAAAATGACCATTCCGCACAGTAAATCAAATGCAAGCTGGCAGAAAAGGAAAAACTTAATATTTTTACCAGTAAAAATTATTGTTTTTATTGTTAAAATTATGGTTCGAAAACTAAAAATTATGGTTACAACAGTAAAAATTTCTGTGCGGGAAAGTACAATGTATTAACCGATATTATTAAGGTTTACTGTTCCAGCACGGTAATTTTTACTGTTCTGACCCTAATTCTAACTATTCCAACTACAATTTTTACTTTTAAAACTATAATCTTTGATATTATAAAAATAAAATTTGTTTCCTTTGTTGCCACCTTGCATTTGATTAAATGTGCAGAATGGTAATTTTTGCTGAAATTTCTCTATAATTTTTATTATTTTTTTCTCTCAGTGTACAATTAAATTTTAACATCAAAGTAAGAAAACAATCATTTATATTTCCGTTGTAAAGCACTCGATTTTTCGATCGCACTAGAGAAGCAAAGATTTCTACACACTTTTTACAGTACATGCAAATCGAGCAATAACAATATTACACGCGTACGTGTATATAGTAGCAAGTTGCGTGAAGTAAAAAAAAAAAAAAAATAAAATAAAAAAACAAAGTCGCGCGTTTGCACGTACATTTATAAAGAGAGCTCGGACGGAAAGAAAATTGGACCACGCCTGCTGCAAGTCGTATAGGTGTACACATGTTAGCTCTCGCTGCACGCGCGCGTACATATATATAATATGCAGAAAATGCGTGTGCGCGTAACGTGCAATGGCTCGTGAAACGCTGTTCAGGCAGCCAGTCAGCCGGCGCGTTTCTCTGACACGAGAGATATCTGTTGGCTGGTGCAGCTCTTATAGCTATGTTAATTAAACGCGAGGAGAAAAGAAAGAAGCTAAGAGAGAGAGAGACAAGGGTTAGATGAAATTCGGACGCGCGGGCGAAAAAAAAAAAAAAAGGACCATTAAGAGAGGAAAAAGGATGCGTCCGGCGACGAAGGAATTGGGAGTCCAGAGAGAGAGAGAGAAAAGGGGGCTAATAACACGTCCCGTACGACGAAGAGCCAGGGGCTCAGCGTTAAAGACTCGGCAGCCACCCCTTTCGACCTTTTATCTCTTTCTTTTTTTGTTTTTTGTTTTTTTTCTAGATGTGTTATTCTCGTCTTGAGAGTCGTCGTTGTTTTTTCATTTTAATTAGATTTGAGTATAACTATGCCCATTTTGTTCGGGTCGCGTGTGCAAAGGGGGTTTTTCGAGCACGGGGTTAAAGGGGTGTGATTTTTTTTTCTCCCTCCGTCGACTTGATGGATTTCTCTGGGCGATGAAATTTAAAAGCAGGATGTATTTTGGAAAAAGTTTTTTTGAATTAAAGTCAACCGTTTAATGTTTCGCAAAAAAAATATACTGGCGACGTGTTATTCATACAGGGGGTTCTGAATTCGAAAAAAAATAAACAAATCATGCCCCACATTGCTACTTGTCTCTTAGTTGATGCATTTGGTTTGAAATATATTAGTTGGTTTTTTTTTTGTTCACGCATTGTACTGAAATTATTAAAGTGTCTCGAGTATAATTGGGCCACAAAAAATTTAAAAGTATTTTATAGTACATTAAAATATGACACTATTTTATTTTATCTGCGATTTTTTTATCACTTCATGAAGGAATGCACAATACGAATGATCAAGGTGTTTTTATAAATAAAAATATCACAAGAAAATCTACTGAAAGTAGCAAGAGATTTTTCTAAAATAAAAATTGTATGAATTATTTTTTTAAGCACGTACTCATCATTTAATGCAAAAAAAATTTTTTTTATTTGTTTACATATTTATTTCTAATCGTAGAAACTTACACTGAGAGACAAAAATTATAAAAATTACTGACCCTGTTAGAATAGTAATTTGACATTTCTCTGTCTAGAAATTATTCACTGTATGTGTGATAATTTTTTAAAGTATTTTCGTTGTGGGATAATCCATACTATTTGCATAATAAAAATTTCTAGCCAACGTGGTATGAAAATTAGGTCATAAAAAAAATTGTTTTCCAAACAAACAGCTTTAGATTTTTTTCATTTGCTTCAACATGACGATTTTTTTAAATGAAAACAAATTGCATGCTACACTTATATTCAAGTTTCTATAACTTATGATGGTAAAAAAATTTTGATACATCACTACACTTATCTGCAAAAAATTTGTTTTTCCAAAAATTTGCTTTGCTCAAATTTATATTTCATATAACATAATAGTTTTCCTCGGTTTTCCTTCGGACAAAAAAAATATAATCCTAGAGTTTCCATTCGAGGGTAAGATAATGATAATAATACCCCTACCGTGTTAAGCCTCGGAAGAAAAAAAAAAAAAAAACCCATAAGTAGTTTTGTCAAAGTCACACACAGTCCGTTTGTAATCCACCGACAAGTCATCCACATGATATACACACCCAATGTGTATTACTTTTACATGTATATTCATTTCCTCTCCATCTTCCCCTGCCCTTACAACTATAAATATGCGTGTACCTCAAGCCAATTCATCCAAAGTGACAAACCGCGTTAATTCGTTTCCTCCCATGGCACCCTCCCTCATAGTTATACCTACAGTCTGTCTGGACTGCGTTTTCGATCCTTTTTTTTCTCTCTCCCTCTCGCGTGTATACGATACCTCACACATATATAGCGTACACAATAATCGAAAACCTCACAATCATCGTCATGACACGTCAGGCGGCGCGCGACAAGACACGAGTGTTCTCACGTCCCCGGGCATGAAGGAGATGTGAAAAATAAGGGGAAAACAAGCGGCGCGTGGCATTGACTATTACCACCGTTGTGTACAATATATAGCTGAGAGTGTCCGGGGAAAATTGAAAAGAGGAAATAGAGGCGCGGGGACCATGTGCGCGCGGGTTGTTGAAGTTTTCTTTTTCTCTTGAACGGAGAAAAAGACTCCGTGTGCGCGTTGAGTGATGATTTCCAGGATATACTGCACGAATGATGCCGTCACCGCATATACATCGTCCCGGGGACTGTCCGCAACGGGAGATTAAAATCCTGTGACGGCTAGCTCTCCTCCCGTTTTTTTTTTTTTTTTTTTTTTTTTCCCCTTCCAAAGAAAAAAGGGGCAAACAAGCACCGATTTAATTTGACACTCGCTTCTTTTCATTTTTCATTATCGAGTGGGCATTTATATTTTCTAAATTTGACTCCTTTTTTTTTTTTTATCAACTCCTCAGTGACGACTTATTTAATCCAAATGTGACAAAATACACATTAGTTTTTTGATATGGTATAATTAGGATTAGTAATCCGTCGGCAGACTTGGAAAAATACATTTTAATGTATATGAGATTGATAAGCTATCGGTAGACTTGGGCCCCGATACTTTACCATTTTTTTTGTAATACAATTTTTTGCTGATATGTACTGTTTTATTTATACTGAAAAATATTTTAATTTTAAAAATTTATTGTAGCTTAGAAAAAAATGAACAAAATATAAATAAAATAATTGAAGAAAAATTATTATACTAATTTACGTATTTTCAGACGAACTACTTGACCCGTCACAGTCAATGGAAAACTTTCTAGTTAACTAAAAATAAAATAATTGAAGAAAAATTATTTATATTTTATTTTAAATACTTTCCAATGAACTTTAATATCTAAGATTAAAGGCACTTATTTGAAATAAGAAAGTTTTCTTAATATTGCACTGCGTATAATGATAAATAAGAAATATTTTCAAAAATTCAAAAAAAAAGAAATCACTTTAATCACGAGAAAACAATTTTATTTAAAAGTGTTTTAAAATCCACATAATAATTTTACTCAAGTCTGTATATTGGTACTAATCGAGGGGTTTGTATTGAAATGTAAAATAATAAATTTTACGCTTTTATAAGAAATTTATTGATTTTTAATACTATTATCATACGCTACAACAGAAATATTTCATAACAATTGACGCGTAAAATCATAATCGTATTAAGATGGTATTATTTCTAGCTTTTAACTTGAATAATGTTGAAAGTTCAAAAAGATTATATTAACATTTATTATTGAAAAAAAAAAGATACGAATAATTTGTGCGCTGGTGCGACGTATAGGAAAAAATTGAAATTCGTAGTACTCAATGAAATAAAATAAAATTAATTGAACATAAAGGGAAACATTTTGTCAATCAACACAAGCTTATATTTTTGTTGGTATATTTACCAGAAAAAAAAATTGTTTTGTTCAAAACCCAACAATAATTAGCTTGAAAAATTCAAGGAAACAACTTTTATTTTTCGATAATGTAAGTAATGTTGTAATGAAAGACCCAAGTTGAAAATTGTTAACTAAATCGAAATTAATGTGAAAACTCAAAAAACATATGCACTCGTCGGACTGTCAAGATGCAAGTAACTCCATCTTACAAAGTCTGACGGAACTAACGTCGCACAAGCTTCTGATCTACTTTACCAACTGCACTAGCGAGCTTTTTTAATCTTGGAGGAGCAGAACAAATAATTCAAAAAAGGTACATGCGATAACTATGTAGGTATCAGGTAATGAAATATAATAAATAAGTATTTTTTCGAATTAAAAAAAAAAAAACTTATACAAATACGCAGCTTTACAATCCAAATGTAATCTTACGTTAATATGAATTAATTAAACCAATGACGTTTGGAAAAAGTACAATGTGACAGTAACTGATCGATTTTTCTTAAATAAAGGTACAACATGGCGTTTTGCAAAGGCACATTTATGACTAACCTAATAGATGTAAATATTGAAGTAACTTTTAAATTATAAAAATATGTTGTTGATTATAGTGCTCGAATACTAAGATTAAACTGGCCAAAATGTAAAAAAATATAATACTGACTATAAAGCAGATAGTGCAAATTTTGCACTCAAAAACGTCGTTGATAGAATTAGGTTTGATAAAATACATATTTTTGAAAATCTCGTTTATAGTTGAAACAGTATACAATATAATTTTGTATTCAATAGATAAATTTGAGCACTGCGTTGATGCTTAATATCATCGTAAGTAATACGTTGGCGTAATCTGGCACTATAAAATTCAGCTTATGATTAAAATATACATCGAAACGACAACAGTAAATTTAAAACTCGCCTTCCTAACTTGAGTGGTAAAAATGTACATTTTCAAGACTCAAACAAGTCAGAGTATCGTCGTTGGCGTCCGTTTGCGTTACGAAAGGCCGCGGCCAAGTGCTGCTCGTCCTGAGACTCGGAATGATTAATCAAGTAATTGTAGAGCTCGAACATCCGCTGCTTGTCTCGCATCTCGAGTTGCTTCCAGTCCTCCTCGATTTTCTGTAGGAACTCGTCTGCCGAGCCGTCAGTCTCCATTTTCGAGAACTTTTCGTCCTCCTGCACCCACTGTTTCCACATATCTTTTGCTTCCTCACTGCGAAGATTAAGCAAGATTTTGTTTTCTTTTTTACTCATGTAAAATTAATTGAAAGAAATTCTCGTTGGATGATCATTGATAAAAAGATTATACAGGTTTATGATACCGAATTTGAGAAATTAAGGTTTGGGGATGGATATTGATTTAAAAATCAAGCAGGTATAGATTGAAAGTTAATAAATGGGGGCGTAAAGTTTGCAAAGACAAAAAATATGGCAATAAATAAAAAGAAAATGGTGAACCACAAGCTGTAAAGAGATATCACAATAAAAGAGAGGAAACCACATAAACGTCTCCATACTCGCAAAAAACATTGCAATGCACACTTGCAATCACAACGAAACGACAGCTAGTGCATTTGATTGTTAATACAGAGAGCCAAACTGCCATAAACGACGCGTGACGGTAAATTTGGCACGCGTTTTCTCAACAGCTGGCGCGGAGGAGTAAGTACTATCATCGTAAGTTACGTGTGATTCAATGCTTTTTGCGTAACGCGCCATGTGTACTAATAATAATGCGCCCATTTACACGCAGATAGGTACACGTACGAGGCGCCCTAGACCCTTGGCATTGGACCGCAAAGAAGTTCGCTAATGTAGGAGTGTATAAAGTACGAGTGTCGATGCACTTTGTAAATGAATTTATTTGTTTTAAGATGTTTTCTTTCTGTCAATGATTGAGGATTCTTCGAAGGAGCATGCAGTGTGGGGTGATTTTTCTTTTTTAATAAATTCTGATGGTTGGCTGAGGTGGTGTGTGATTGGACCCCGGCCAATGTCAAACGGGGTACACAAATAGAGAATCATATAGAGAAAAGTGATAAAGCCAAGAGAATAAATATCGAAAAGTGTCACTTTGCCGACTATCCTCACTTTTATCCTGTTAGCTGGCGTGGCGCAAATGTTAAAAGTTTTGTGTAATTATTGGTGACTTTTCATGAGTTTACGAGATACCACAGTTTGTTGCTGTCAGCTAACTTGATTTAACCACAATAATGTTAACTGATGCTCTTATATCTTCTGCTCATTTATCTTTGGCTACGTTTTTTCTGCACTCCATCAAGCTAATCAATCAATTTTTTTGAAAGCACATTTTTTTACCATTTTAAGGGCCATTACAAAATAATTTTATTTGTTGCGCTGATCATAAAAATAAAAGTATATCGCTAAATCAATAGATACTTGAGTTTTTGCCCATTTCTCTAGAAATTCTCTAGTGGGTCTTAGAATGACTCATGCTTGTGTTCAATACAATGCGGAAAAGGCATTGTTGAGACATCTTGTCATCGATTTGATTTTATCTTTTAATGTATGTACCATAATCGTCAAAGTAGATATCGTAAATACAAAGAAATAAGGTATGATGGGGTTTGTACATATACTTGAAATGTGCTCTTCAAAGGTGTAAAATAAATCGCAAAAACATAACTACTAATCTGAGAATAAAATTAAAGTTCCTATACTAGATTTTCCTTTCGACAATAATATTAATCAACTTTTGAAACTTCAAAAGTAAGCGTTAAAAATTTTAAAATTGCTTTACTGGTACATAAGGAGAAACACAAGACGAAAAATGTTTTCCTGTTTCTCCGAATTTTAGATGGCAAACTGCCAAATAACGTACGATGCCAAGAACAAAAAATACGCGAGATGCATATTATAATAATATTAATTTAAAGCTTCTATAATTTTACTCGTTACCGGGGCTACCAAAGATGAACTAAAATAAATTAATTTGCGCTCTCATTCATAACGAGCAATAAATGACTCAAAAGCACTCGCTTTCCAAGTGCCGTTCACTCAAATCAAAGTTTTAGTTAATGACAACACACATGCGAAATAACAACCAAAAGTTATACCTGTACATGGAGTAGTTGCACATCTTCTCTCTCTTCTTGCGTGTATCTTCCCGCATTTCAATAAGCTTTAGTGCAGACTTCCTCACCTCATCGTCGATATCAAGATCTTTGTTGTCATACAGATTCTTATTCTTCAGCAGTATCAGCTCATTCCTCATTTCTCTGATTCTAAGCGCTTCATCCCACGATTGTTTGGCAACTGCAAACTGCTCACGCTTGCAGAGATCCAGTATCTTAGTCTTGAGGTCATTGTTCTTAAGGTAGCGATAGCATCGCATCGTCGATTTGTCATCCTTCAGTAACCCTTTGCTTGAGAAATAGAGATTGGGATCGCCGACCGGATTGTCGAGACTCACTTGATTGTGTTCGGGAATTCGATTGTCCATGGTTGAGACCCTGTGCCCGATTGTTTCGAAATCAAAGGGTGCGCACTGAAGATGCTCCGAACCTGGTCGGGAGGATGGCGCCTGATCCTGGTCAGAGACACTTTTCTGGCTCGGTGTCGGTATACGACAGAACTCTGTTTCCAGGCCAGTGGTGTGTTTCTCTGAAACGCAATCCACTTCCGTGTGCTGATTCGACTCATCGTTCTTACTTTTCAATTCCATCTGGTTTAATCTCGATTCCATTCTTTCCATTCTAGATTCGTTCTCTTGTTGCTGAACCGACAAAACATCGCAAATTTCTGAAGCCTGACTGGATGCGTCGGATTGATCTTCAACTTTGTTGTCGCGCATGTTAGTGTTGCTGAGACTAGGCGCGTAAGTGGACTGGCGGGCCGCGTATCTCAAGTTGCTACTTTGGTTGCCGTTCAACGACGAGCCCGATGATTTGGGGCTTAAGCTCTGCTGGTTCTGGGCTGACATGATTTTACTGTTGTTCACCAAGGTATTGTATGGCGATGAGCTTGTTGACAAACGAGTTTGTTTCTGGCTGCTGAAAAAAAGATGATTTCATTGATTAACGATCAAGAGTTATTAATCAGTTATGATAGAATCAAGTAATAATAACTATTGAAGCTATAGCTAGCAGTACTTTTATGTCAAGATGATCAATAAAGAATTTTAATTTAGTCCACGCTTGGTTGCTCGAACAAGAGAAAACTACCTGATATTTTACATTTGACTAACTTGATGACAACTTTCAATCAGAGTATTGAATCTCTGTTTCACGAGTATAAATTAATCCAGACGAATGACAGCAGTAGGAAAATTGACCATATTACACATAATTTTTGATACTAAGTTACGTAAATCGTGCAGGTATACATAGAAACAGACAGTTGTGTACTTTAGTCCTGTGAAATATCGATTGTTGAGAGGAAGACAATTCCAGCGTGACGTCACTCCGTGTTATTTCAAATGGGGTTACGTCACGCTGGAATTGTCTTCCTCTGGACCATCGATATATATAGGTACTTAGTAAAAGTTTCAAAAGATAATTTGGACCAGGAGGTATCACATAAAAGGTATAAAATAGTTTAAATTGACAAATAACAACCATATACATCCCACGGACGAATAAATAAACACATAAATTATTCATGAATCCTGGAAAACTATGGAAAAAGGATGTGATGTAAAACGTAATGACTATCACACAAAAAGGTAACAACTAAAACAGTTTGAATCGATAAGTAACGACTGTATAAATATACTCTACGAAGCCTTAGTTACACATTTTACATTATTTTGATACTATATTATCACTGACTAATGTAAAAAAGAAACTCTACTTACGCGGTAAAACGCTTTCAATTCGCGACTTGTACGATCATGTTAGCTTTAAATATGAGTATAAATACTAATAAAAAACAAATACTTACAAGCAAAGTAACCGGAACTCCTTTACGATCGTAACTAACAAAAGTGTGTACTTTTTAAGGTTAAAATTCTCGCTCACCCCGACAAATAAAACCGTTGGAATATCTATGAGGCCATGGATGCGGCGCCGTGTACCATGTATTTGTGACACAACTCGTGTACGCTACGTCGAAAATGTAATTCGTGTAATTGACGCGGTAAGTTACACAACCCTCAAATTTTTCAAACAGAACCCCCAATGGCTCTTTTTGAATAAAATAAACAAAGACAAATGAATGATGTTTTAGTTCAGCAGCTTGAATGAATTGTATAGAATAAGTATGAAAGTACCCGCTGAGAGTAAAAATAAAGCACATTGTCCAGTGAAGCGAAATAACTGTATCGTGTCGTTTTGCGCGACTGACCTATCCCCACTGTCCGGTCGAAGCGTGGATTCCGGAGCAAAACCAAGCGGGCTCTCCGAGGGTGTCCTGATGAACCTCCTCCTGCAGCCGTTGGTCAAGCTCTGCTGGTCCAAGAGCTTGTCGATAACCGGCGCCGGGAGCTCCCCCGACTGCCTCGTTCTCCTCTGTTTCCTCGCCTTCTCCAGCTCCTCCAGCTCCCTCCTGTACCCCTCCTCCTCCTCCTGGAGAAGCTTGCGCAGCTTGTCCCTCCTTTCCTGCAACTGTTCCTCCTTGCGCTTCCTTTCCACGTGCCGCTTGTACGCCTCGGGGCCGCGCGTCGTCCACGAGGCGAACTGCCGGGCCGCCTCGGTTTCGCGCTCAAAGTACCGCGCCGTGCGCTGGTAGTAGTCGTGTCGCAGGTTGTCCTCGTGCCGGCGCTGGGCTTGCTGCTGGTACTGACGCTCCCGCAGCTTAGACCTGGGGGATTTTTTTTTTTCTTTTCTTTTTTTCTTTTTTACTGTCTCGTGGAGAGATTTTCGGGTTTATTGGTTGTTTCCTCCATCCGGGGCTCAGTTCGCTGCGCTCGGGTTTTAATGGTTGTTTTTTGTTTTTTTTGTTTTTTTTTTTTTTTCGAGTCTCGCACGATTGCACGTATAAGTGTACAAACAATTGAGCACGACTTTTTCGAGAATAATTCAAGTTTTTCTCTTCGTGCAAAATCTTTCGTTCATCCCTGTATTTATGTCTCAGCTGGATTTTTTTCACAATATACTAAACGTTTTAATGCGCAACGGAAAAATTTTTTTTTTTTTTTAACTGCACATTGTTTTTGAAATACGTAGGGATTAACAGACGATATGCTATAGGATACTTTGTTACGGATGATTGTTCAATGCATATGATAGCTGCATTAAAAAATTTGCGTTGGACTTGTAAAAAATCTTTACCTGTGATTTCATCTCATTACCGTTTATTCTTATGATTTATCAACATGAATCTGTCTCCTATTACGGAAACGAAAAACAAAAACTAATGTGTACACAAATAAAAGCGTCATGGATTAAACAAACATTAGTCGAAGCGTCGGAATTTTATGGTAATTTCAACAATGCCATGTTTCGTAGATTACATTTTAACAATAATAAAAACCCCTACGCCCGAAGCTCATTTGATAACAAGAGAAACGAGATTACCCCAAGGAGTTCTCTGTCAGAATGTAATAGTTTATTATTATTATTATTATTATTATTTTTTTTTTTAAACAATATTCAAAATAATGATTGCACGTATTTAAATACTCCGTCCAAACTTGTTTAAATTTTGCATAAAAAAATATTTAGAACATCGCAAGTGTCTCGCATATAGGCCAATTTGTTGGGACGCTGCGAAGATTCTTCGGCACATCATTTTAAAATGTTGAAAATAAACTATTAACATTGAAAGACATGGATAGAGTTAGAAACTGTACCCACGAAAACCACGGCCTCGCAAATAATTGCAGAATAATCGCGCAAATGTACAATTTATCGTATACCTTTGGCCTCAAAAATCCTATTCAAATAAATCATCGCAAATGTAGTTGGGGCGTAATTTATTATTCTCCAATACGACGTAATCGCCAACTCGAGATAAAATCGCATAAAGTAAATGGCATCGTCCGCGAGTTCCAATATACGTACAGGTACTCAAAGAGAAACATGTACCTAATTGTGTCAACGATTTATCCAATTTAACTGTAATTTCAAGAAAAAAAAATACAAGCTCATGAGAGGATTGCTCCGTTCAGTAAATATTTGCTTAAAGTAAAATAATAAACTGAATCTGTTAATCTGCAGCGTATAGTCCCTGAAAAAAATCATTAAAAATCTGCAGACACACAAATACTTGAAAAAAAAAAAAAGATGCATTAGTTTACTTGGTTTATTTACAAACTTAATCCCAATGAACCTGGGAATGAACCATCAAAGAGATCGAGAAGTAAAAACGGCCAAAGAGGGCAACGAATCGGTAACTTTTGGACAAGAGCAAACGCGTCGGTGTTACAATAGTCGCGAAAGCGCAAAAAAAAGAAGAAAAAAAAAAAGAAAATACATCGGTCGGTCGAGCATTGCCGATTTTCCCCAAAAGCTCGGCGTTGAAAACGAGAAAGGAGGAGGGACCGATGGCTCGTCCCCAAAAAGCTCAAAGCCAGAGAGACACGCGGAGGAAGAATAAAAGCTCTGGTCGAGTCTCGCTATTTCCGTACTTGCGGCGCGTGACGTCACACCGGGTACGAAAATAATATCCGGCACCTTCCGGCGGCCGCGGTGGCAGCGCCGACAGTACAGTACCGATACTGGGGAAGAGAAAATCGTCTTCGCCGAGGATACACGTCAGCGAAAAATTACAAGAAGAATAAAAACAAGCTGATCTTCTTTCAGTGTTTTGTTGTTGTTGTTGTTTTTTTTTTTTTTTTTTTTTTTTTTTTTTTTTTTTTTTTTTTTTTTTTNCATCTCGAGCAGGTAGACTGCCAGGGCCATCACGTGCTCGGATATGTTTTGGCCATTGACCGCCTTGTAGAGTATGACGAAGATCATGGCGTGGAAGACTTTCGAGCGTAACACGAGTCGAGGGTCGTCGTAGTCGGCCGAGACCGGGGCTGGGTGCCGGAACGGCGGCCAAGGGGCCGCGTTGGACTTTAGTTTTCCGGACTGCTTCACGCTGGAAAAGAAAGGAAAAAAAAATAAAATAAATAAATAAATAGAAAGTAAAAATAAAAAAAACTTCACTTCAAATTGTAATTGTAATACTGTGCCTTGCAGAGCGTACCGAAGCCGGCTGACATAAATCCATCGGAGAGCCAATCGACAGGAAGCAAGAGCGAAGGCGGCCGAAAGACGAGCAAAATCACAATAGTACCGTCACAGCCGAAGAGCGACAAAAATGCAGCGGCAGCAGCAACGACGACTACGGCGAGCACAAAGGTGCGCGAAAACGGCCGGCCGGAGCCGTCGAGCGCCAGGCCCCAGCTCGAGCGCCAGGTGCGGGTCGAAAAATCGAGGTCGCGCGGCGAGCCCTTGCCCCTCGCCAAGAGCGAAAGCACAACCACAACCGGCAAGTGTACACCTCTACTTTTCCTCGGGAGTGGCTTTTCTTTTCTTTTTTTTTCCCTCCCCCGTGCGAGCTGATGTCGTTCTTTTTTTAATCCCTACGCCCACCCTGCCCCGCACGATTCCTCTGCCACGAGAGGGGGATGACAAAAGAAAAACAGCGCTCTCGCGACCCAGTGTCCGGTGCACAGGCGTGCTGTTAAGACCTGAAACCCAATGCAATCATATAATTAATAAATAATAATAAAAAAAAAATAAAAAAAATTGTGAATAAAAAAGGAGCGCCAACGTTGTCGAAGAGCGCCTCGCGGGCCAACATCCCGCCACCGCCGCCTCCACGGCCTCCGCCGCCGCCACCTTCGCGTGTCGTGGTGCCGGTGCTGAAGGACCTGCCCCCCCTGACGGAGACCCAGAAGATGACCCTCGAGATGCTCAAGTCCCGGCCGAGGAAGCGCCCCGACTGGGGTGACATGATGAAGGAGGTCGAGAGCGGCAAAAAGCTCAGGCATGTACAGTGCAACGACAGGAGCGCCCCGCTCATCGAGCGCGTCAAGGTTACCAAAGTCACGGCCGATCCGGAAGGTGATACTTTTTTTTTTTTTTTTTTTTTTTTTTCTCCTGTCTTTGTACATCGTGAATTGGAAAAGTGAAGATTAAGGACTGTGACGACCCCCGTGAGGGGCTGAGCCCCTAAGGTTGCCGATTTTTTTTTCTAGCCGAGCTTCGGAGTGGGGACGACAACAGCGAGCTTTTTTCTAAACACAAAAGTGGTAATTCAGTGGTTGGAGTGAGAGTGCGTGTATGTACACGATACATCGATCCCAACGACCATATAATATATGATTGTTGTTTGCAATAATATAGTAACTTTTGGTTTTTTTCTTTCTTTCTTTCTTTTTTTTTTTTTTTTTTTTTTTTAATCGTGTCAAAGTACGTAGAATACAATTATATGTGTGACGGTGCCCGACGTGCACATGCATCGAGAACGAGGGGGGTTGGGGTATATACGTGAGTGTGTGTGTGTGTGTGTGCGTGCGTGAGTGCGAGTTGTTTCTGATTAATTTATAATGAATAAATAAATTTGGGTATATACGTGAGTGTGTGTGTGTGTGTGTGCGTGCGTGAGTGCGAGTTGCGCGTTTATTTTTGAATTTGGGGTTTTTCTCGTCAAATGCGCAACTCAACGACGAGGATGACACGATTTCGCGTCTCCATGCGCGCGTGTGATATTTTTGTATCGGTGGGTGCGTTAATTACTCTCGCTCATTTTTTGTTTTTTTTTTGTCTTACGGGTGGTCGTGATATCCAGATCCATTGAGGCGAATAAGGGGAGGGGGGGAGGATTTTTGGAGTCCCGGAAAGTGATGAAGATTTTAACGAGTCATTTTTTTTTCTTTCGATTTTTATGATTTCGTCGTATTTCAGTACTTCGAAAGTTTTTAGAGGGTTAACGGTTAAAAGTAACTTTTTTTTTACTTCATTTTCTGACGGATGATCAAGTTTTTTTTATTGTTATTATTATTACGAAACGTGACACTTTTATTAAGGCACAATCAAGTTTTATTTGAATAAATTTTAATGTAGCTTTTTTAGTTCTGCTGAATATTTTTAACTAGTTGCACTTTTTTTTTTCTTTTCTCTTCAAAAACTCANAAAAAAAAAAAAAAAAACTTAAGCAGGAGAGGCGCACTTTGTCTTCGACTCGGAGAAGTCGAACATGCACAACAAGCTACTGAAGCAGATCCAGGAGGGCGTGAAGCTGCGCAGCGTCAAAACAAACGACAGATCCAAGCCGGTGCTCGAGGGTCTGCGGAAGTTCCGCCGGCAACTGACGATAGAGGAACAGATGCAAAAGGCCGAGCACGCGCCCGAGCAGGAACCCATCGCCGACGAGATGGACGACATAGACGCGGTGCGCGACGACCTCCAGAGCACCAAGCAAATGCTCGCCCTCGAGCTCAGGAACAAGGAGGCCCTCGAGAGGGAGAACAAAAGGTTGCAGGTGCGTGCACGCGCGAAGAATACTTAGGTGTTTTTCTTGTTTTACTTCATTATACATGGACTTTTTTTTTTTTTTTTTTTTTTTCTACATTTTGTTGTATCATTTGTATAATGCGACTGGAATTATAATTTATCACAATCAGTGGAATAAAAAATGTGCTACAAGTGGCTCTGCAATTTAACCAAAACATACGACACTTACATTCACATCCACATTATTTGTACTTAACACACACACACACACGCGCGTACTTTCAATTGTTTGTTTACTTTTCGAACTCGTCTATAGTTGAAAAAATAATAATAATTTCAATCACGCTTTTACTTTTTTCACCAATTTTAGATTGTACAGCAAAAAATTAGGGTGGCAACATAAAAGCCCTTTAATTACTTTTTATTGTCTGTAATGTGTTTTTCAATTAAACTATGCAGCAAAAAAATGTCTCCGATCATAGAAAGAAGAAAAAAAACCGTGGATTTTGTTCTTCATAATAATTGTAACGATAAAAAAAAACTCTCACGCGATAAATTAGGATTTTTTTTTAATTATTTGTTGATAAAAGAAAAAATTTATTTTAATTTAAAAAAAAATGTTTAGTAATGAAATCTCATTTCACAGCTGAAACTACGCCTTACGTAAATACATGTACTGTCCACATATTTTTCCATCATCCTCCGGAGAACAGAATACTTATAATTTTTTATTTGAAATCTCTTTTACTCGTATGTAGGAATACCAATAGTTCGTCGAAGTAGTCAAAGTTCCAAGGCCCAACTCACGCCAATCGAAATACAAATTAAAAAAAAAAAATATCGATTACAAGTACTCCACCACATTTTTTCGTTCAATCGGATATTCACCAAAATCTATACAGCTTCAAGTAGTGCATTTGGCAAAAGCAAACACACACACACACAAATAAAACCCCTAACTGTATGTATACATCTTCGTACAAAAGCTGCCACCGCCTGCGCCATCTCAACAATCTCTAACGCGCGATTAGTCCAAGCGGCCGTGCAACGAACAGCGAGTTTTTCCGCAATAACAAACAAAGAGGCAGTCCAATTTTTTTGTCCTTTCCCAAGAAAACAACAACAACAAAAACTGGTAAAAAAAAATTGCAGAGTCCCTTAGGTAGAAAAAGCCCCGAAGCGCATCTAGTCGAGCTACAGCGTGAAAATGTTCGCTCGCAGGCGAGGATCCTGAACCTCGAGGTGGAGCTCGAGCAGGAGCGCTCGGGGAAAACGTCGGTGAAGCCGGACAGCAGCGGGCAGAAGGACGAGAAGCTCACCGAGTCGTTGAAGCGCGAGGCGGACCAGGCGCGCCGGGACGCCGAGAGGCTCGAGAAGGACTTTGCCAGCGCGGCCGAGGAGAGGGACAGGGCCAAGAACGAGCTCGAGGAGATGAAGCGCATGTACAGCAATCTGGAGAAGCGCATGAAAGCTGGTCAGTTTGCTTTTTTGCTTGCCATCGCTGTGCTCATACGGGAGGGCCCAAGCTTTTTTTTTTCAAAATAAGTATACCCATGCGTGATTGGCGCTAAACAGTACTCCACTCGCGTCGCGCACTGCCATGGGAAACATTTTATTTCCCGCACCGATTGTCAAAAGACCAAACCATGACATTTTCTTAGCTATAGTATCTCTACGCGTGTTATACAAAAACTTATCTTTTTCTGTCCAATGTAGGCTAGATTGTTCTCGGGGTATAATCGAAACAACAGAGATTGAAATAATTTAAAACTCATGTGTGTACCATTAATACACATTTAAACGTATACAATTTAAATTTAACTCGTGTTTGAGATTTTTACGGTTTTAAATATCTTTTCTGGATAAACAGTTACTTTCATTTACTTGCAAGATCATCGAGCTGACCATCGAGCCTTTTTTTTAAAACTTGGCTCGTTTGAAATCAGAGCCTTTTAGAAATATTTCAAAGGTTCTCAAACGACATTACAGACCAAGAGACAAGTTCTAATACAATTATACTCGCAATTATAAATATTTCTTAATGAATTTGCAAAGTCTCGTCGTTTGGGCAACAATCGAAATAACTAACCAAATTACCGCTCTCGGCTGTAACAATAATCCAAACACGCTAATAACAACACCTGCCGCTTCTGCCACTGCTTAGCAAAACTAACAAAAGTACCTCTGGCTTTCTCCGTCTCTGCTTGCTTCAGCTAACATGCCGGCAACTCCAGAATCCTCCGTGGAAAACGAAGGAGACGAAGGAGAGGACGAGTCCTCGTCCTCCTCTTCCTCCGTTGGCGGTAAAAAAAGCGCCAGTCCTCTGTACCACAAGCTTCAAAACGGCTTTGCTTCGCATGGCGCTAACAACCCGCAGCAGCTCGATGCCGAGCCAATAGTCGAGTTGCCGGCGACGGACAGCGAGGCAGAATCGACAGCCTGTTGGTGGGATGTTTCAGGAATGGCACTGGCCGGCTGCCCCAGCGCCAAGGACGTGGCGAGGATAGCCTCCCAGAAGAGCATGGACAAGCCGGAGCCCGAGGAGAGCGAGGAGAGCGAGGAGGAAGAGAGCAGCGAGGAGGAGAGCAGCGAGGAGGAGGATCCCAAAGTTGCCGAGGAGAAGCGCCAGCAAAGGGAGCTCAAGCTCATGAAGACCAAGATAAGGAATTTCAAGTTTGTGTCCTTCGTCATCTTCTTTCTTTCTTTCTTTCTTTCTTTGTTGTTCTTTTTGGTTCTGAAAGTGAAATATTTGCTCATACAGGGACAAGACTGTCAATTCCAAGAAGGAGAGACAAGCACTGAAAGAACAAATAAAGCAGCAGCAAAAGTTCCTGAAGGACGAGAAGAAGAAGTTCAAGAGTCTCCAGAAGGAGGTGGACAAAATGGCCAAACTGATGGCAGACACGGAAGAGAACGAGGACGAGGAAGAAGAGGAGGACGAGGAGGAAGAGGAGACGGAATCCGAAGAGGACTCAGAGTCCGAGGAGTCGGAGGATGAGGAGGACTCTGAAACTGACGACGAAGAGAAACCTGTAGAGCAGCGCAAAGACAAATTGCAGGTAAGTGCGGCTTTGGCATTTATTTTTTGTGGTGACAGTGTTGTGAGTAATGGGGTGAATTGTTCCAGAATCGCGTCAAGAGACACGAAAACAGATTGGGAGCACTAAAGAAGGGCAACTATTTGCTCAAGGCCCAAGTGGACAGACTAAAGGATGACCTAGCTAAACAGCGGGAAGAAAGTCTTTCGTTGCAAGAAGATTTGGATTCTGTGTTGGCTGAATTAGGTTGAGACCAAAGGCACGCGGATAAATGCTGATCCAAAGAGAATAATTAAAAGTACATTAATAATAATAATAATAATAATGGGAGAACAAAAGGTTGC